AAATACAAATACGAGATATACGAGATGTGAAATGGGCCAGGTATGAATTATAAAATGCGGCCGTAAATATGCAGAATAGCGTACGAATAAACCGTGCAATAGATTCAACACATAAGAGAGCGAAACATATTAAATCATGTACGCGCACGCTGATAAACGACAGTGGATTAAAAAAGATCGTATCCGCGAGCTACTCGAAACTCGCGCAGTCATTAATTTGTATATTGTATTACACGCTTAATTCAGTCAACGGCATAATGCAATGCATAAATGTCATTGGCCGGCGACAAGATAAATTCGCATTGCGCGAGCATCCCGACCAATTAACCGTTGCCCGTATTAATAATTTCCGCGATTGCATTACTCCGCGGTTATTGCCTAAGAGCCAATTGCGGACATATTTGAAATTCTAGCGGCGGACGTACTGCCGACAGTACGAGAGCATGCGGAGCTTAACGAATACTCGTTGCTCGCTGTTGCTCGCGATAAATTGCGCTTCGCGTTGCGGGCACATTGCTACGCAAGCTTGACGATATCGAGGAGCCGTTCGACGGAACGACTTTCGGTATTCACGCGGGCGAAAGGCGTTAAGAACGCCCGCAGGCTACACCCGGATGATGCGTTGCTTCCGCGGAAGGGTGGAGAGAAGAGGGGGATAACCGGGAAAAAATATGAAAGGTATTGAAATGTTATTGTACGGTTGATCGGCGGACGATCGCGCGAGATCTTCAGCCTCCCCCGCTGCTCCCTCCTCGATGTACCCCTCTCGCGTGAGACTTCCGGTAACGCAAAAAAATGTTGCTGTGGGCTGTAACTCGCTTACGCGTCGCTTAACTCCCCTCCCGCTTTCCTTGGCTCTATTATCCCGCCTGAAAGCTTTACAGAAAATAACGCCGTACACATATTGTCCCCTACTCTCTTCCTCCTCCCTTCCAATCCCCTCCTCCGCGTATTTTTCTCCATTATAGAGTTCGATATACGCTCGTCTTTTGTTTACGGCAAGCACCCCCGTCGTCGTAGTCGCGCATAAAGATTAAATTTGCAAAACGCTAGCGGAGCGAAATCCTCTACCGCCACTATACGTCGCTTTTCGTGTCGCGGGGTAGTCGTTTTTTTTTTTTTTTCGACATCGTGTCCTTGCAATCAAATTTTTCGGAAATTGCTGCACCGAACGGGACGGAAGTCGACGCACGCGTTCCCCGGCTCCGCGTTGTCGACGTGAAAACCGAAAATGCGATAGTGCGGGATTAAATTGTTCGGCATCAAACTCCGCGTGGCAATTTTTCACGACAACATTGGCGACGAAATTCTTAACAAAGAGGTCTCGCAAATTTTCAAACAAGAACAGGGAGAGAGAGAGAGAGAGAGAGAGAGAGAGAGAATGAGAGGCAAAATAAATGAAAAAAAAAAAAATGTTTTTAAACCCTCCCACTTGTACAAGAGGAAAATTATTTTCCAATCGTGAAAGTTAAATGAAGTCGCTTGACAAAGCGACGTGGATCAACCGAGTCTTCTCATTACAAGCTAACTCGGTCAATTGGCATGGAAATATGCGAATAAAACGTCGTCGAGGAGACGCAATGTCACACGGCGCGCTGGCAAATCTTTACTTTTTCCTCGAGCGGCATATGAAACTTCGATCAAGATTCTCGCGAGAAAACGACTACGGAAAAATGTGGTCCTGATACGTCGTCCATCATTATCGACAGTATCATTGATCATCGTAGGGCACCGGAGAAACCGAAAGAAGCAATCAGTGAGGACATTCGATCCATCTCACCAATGGGCCGCGCGTTGTTGCTGTGTTGTCTACACGTATGTCAATGGCAAGCGCAGAAAATGCTAACCGTTAACAGTAATGAAATTCTCCGTTGAGTTAAACAACAAAACGACGGAATCGCTCGCGGTGATCGCGCCCGCGAGCACCACCACAGACCATTTGCCCGCTGATGAAAATGGTAATGCGAGCGAACCAACGGAATTAGAAATATGTACATATTTAGTCTTCGTATAAAACGTTATGCTTTTAAGGCGCCATTAAAGTTTCAACGCGGGTTTCGGCCATAATAACGAAGTTGTTGAAGCGCATGTACTAAAAAGCAATGCTGAGCTGCAATGTAAGTGCGGCAGGTCAGAAATAAATAATACATCAATGACGCACTTTATTTCGTGAGCAGTAGCTAGCGCACGCGATGATTGCTCTATCTCTCAGATAATATTGCAATGACGGAAAATTTAATTATGCATAAGATACTTTTTTTCTTCCTTTTTTGAAAAACACAGTAAAGTAATAAATATAAATTTCGGACCACGCGCATGCCGACGTTTTTAACACCGAATTAATTTTAAACTGGAGGTAACAGATGGAGTACACGAGGTTCGTCATTGTTAACAATTATATAGAAAAGAGAGAGAGCCTTGCAAATTCGCAGGCAAGCGCGAATCCGAAATAAAAATAAAAAAATATATATACTACATTTTATAATATATATTTTTTGTGTAAATATATATATATATATATATATGCATGTCTGTGTGTAATTATTTGCAAAGCTAACTGCCGTGTCAACGAGCCTTCATAACGTGTTTCTGAAGTTGAACCACATCGCATTAATAATCGATGAATGATGGACGAACGATTCTCCGCAAAGTTTAACGATGAAAGATAGATTCCATAAATCGTTCAATAATGACGGGACAATATCTACTTGTCAGCGAGGAAAGTAACAAGCGTAATGTAGCATGCGCAGTTTTATTGTAAATAATGAACTCGCCTTTCTTCTTGAAAGACCCGCTCAAGTTGACCAAGAAGCAAGAGGCAGTAACCACCATTATTTCGTTACACAATTGTAATAGCTTAGATATTCGATTAGTAATACGTTATGAAGCATTTTGCAAGAATGGTATATATATATATATATATATATATATATACACATACATATATCATTGCATGTATTTTCATAATTCCAAAGTTTCCAAGTTAATTTTCCAAAGTTATTTTCCAAAGAGGTCATAGACTATCGATCGCCAGCCTCTGTAACTTTGTGGTGTAAGTAACATAAACACGGATTCACACATTATCGTATAACTGTGGAATCCAAGAAACCGGATTCCTGGCTTTACGACGGATCCGCAGATTCCCGAGTTCCAGATTCGCCGAGGCCGAATTTCAAACTCGGCTTCACAATTATCATTCAAATATCCGGAATAAAATCACGAACTTTCGGTTAAAAACTAAATCCCTAATACGAGCCGGCCGAACATAAGTATCTGAAAAAGCGACCGCATTACATAATTTCCAGTATAATCGCGGCTGCCAGTATAACTATTCAACGAAAAGGATCAAACGTTTAACTCGAGCATGAAGTCGAAAAAAGAACACATACAGAAATATCTCGTGGAGTTTATTACGTGTGCGAGTTTGCGTAAGAGATTGCGGCTCCTCCCGCATTGAACGCAGAAAATATCGCGCCACTAGAAGCGATAAAATGTACAAACTGATGAGAACCACAAAAAAGCGTACGTTACATCAGTGCTTCCCATTTCCATCCGTACGAACGTATCTCGTTAACCTATTTGTCCGATTCCTCTTGAACTTTTAATCTCTAAATTTGGACTGTAATATACGAGATATTCTCTCTCTCTCTATCTATCTCTCTCTCTCTCTCTCTCTCTCTCTCTCTCTCTCTCTCTCTCTCTCTCTCTATCTATCTCTCTCTCTCTCTCTCTCCCTCTCTCTCTCTCTCTCCAATATAAAGATAAATATGTGCTTATCATTGTCGGCAAATAAAATAGTCGCACTAACAAAATAACAAACGAAACAGTCGCAGAGGGTCACGGGCGATGAACAAAGTGCATCGTTAAAATCTCCCATTTACGAGAGAAAGCGAAAATTTGCGAGCGAAGGGAAAAGGGAAGGGAATGAGACACGCTATGCGTTGACGCGCTATTACCTATTATTTTCTTGGCGGAAATATATCGGCGGGAATATTCGTCCGAGCAAGACCTTATGAAATTGAACGAGCCGCACGCGCGCGCATACGCTTTCCCACGGCTGTTGTAGGCCGGCCAATTACAAAAGTTGAGAATCGCTGTGGAACACGATTGTTCGCGCGGCCGACCGAAACGTATCCGATAGCGAAAACACAAAAGGGAGAGAAAAAAGAGGAGAACCAGAGAGGAGCAGAAAATGTTGAGATCTGGTCGCGTGCGGCGATCCTCTGGGAAAATAAATTCGACAAACAGGCAGTAACGTTTCCGACCGATGCATTGTGCCGCTCTTTCTCAAGAAGAGATTATGCCTTAGAAACCCTGCATTGTACCCCTTTAATCTACTGTTTAGGGCGACTGAGGGGGTGAGTGGAGGGGTGAGCGGGCAGAGACATATTCGCGGAGCAGTTTGGCACAGAGCCGTACCGATTAAAATTGGAGTCCGTTCAAACAATCAGCCCCTTTTATAATGTAACAACCGCGCGTCGTTGTCCAACGCGGTGGGCAGAGAGAGAGAGATATATATATATATAGAGAGAGAGAAAGAGAGAGAGAGAGAGAGAGAGAGAGAGAGAGAGAGAGAGGAGGGGGTGGGAGAGGGGAAGGGGAAGACGGCGCGCTCTTTTATAGCTGGCTTCTCCCTTTCATCTTTAACAACCACCTGCGCAAATATTAAACTATTTGACCTCCTTACCCCCAACCCCTCACTCTCAACCTCCAACTTTGCCACTCTGTCTCCGTTCTCTGTCACCCTTGTGATCTTCTTTGACTCCTCTACCCTTCAGCCATTCGGCGTCCGGCGATGTTTACTGTTGCATATTATCGGTCCGGCGTACAATCACGCGACGAAACGCGATCGAGTGTAATTAAAATAATCGTTTGCGAGAATCGTAGCTGCATACTGCGCCGGCGAAATTTGCCGGCGAAATTAACGCGGCTAAATGAAGTTGCCGATAACGACAGGATTTATCGGCTGGTAATCGCCGCAATTATTGGCATTTAATTACCCGTATGCCGTTCCTCTTCCAGGCGGCCGCCCGTCACCCCGTCACGACCGTTCACCGAATCACAACTTTCTTTCTCGGCCACTGAAAAGAACACGCCGGAACCTTTTCAGCGGGCTCGCGCCGAGTGGATAACGAAGCAATAAGAAAGTTCCGACGAATTAGCATTATCTAGCGCCGAGGTACGGAATTAATGAGTTCCCCTCGCCCAGCCCTCATGTCCTCCCTGTCTGTCCCTTTTCCGCAACCCTCTCGCTTGCACACTTTGAACACAGTTTTTTCGGTGGTTGGCGAGCTGGCAGGTTATGGCACGTAATCTTGTAAAATACGGTGTAACTGAACTCTCCTCCTTTCTACCATCCCCCATCTCACTCACTCATTCCCTCATTCTTTTCCTTTCTTCCCCCTCCCTTCTCTCTCTCTCTCTCTCTCTTTCTCTCTCGCCGCTTTTGTCGGCCGCATGCCGAAAAAGCGCTCCTCGAAAGACGAGAAACACAGAGAAAGACAGAAGAAACAACGAAAGCGGAATTTCTCCACAAGATTCTTTCCTCCCCGGTGTAATTACTCGGCCGTTTACGACATTGTCGCAAGTTGTTGTTACTTTCAATAAGAATGAACACACGAAACATTGCAATTGCCAGTGACATGGGCGGTTTTATGCAAGCTTTCAGAAAACTTCAAATATAATTTTCAGTTATTACGGCTAAATGTTTTAATTAAATGCTTTTCCTTTATAATTATAACCAAATAACAATATACTCGGAAAATATTTTAAAATGTTCCATATAAGGATAAATATGAATTTGTGTAAAATTTAGCAGCATTTCAAGAGCATTTCTCCTACTATTTATTTTATCTGCTTGCATTAGTAATTTTTGATATTTTACAATCTGTACAGTGTTGTTATTTCATTTTTAATAATAATACTTTAATTAAAGAATGATCTATTACCCGAAACAGTGGTGGCTAAGATATTCGTGTCAACAAAGAGTCAACACGACGTTCGAGTGAAATCGTTGAAATATTTTGTTAAAACATGTTAGAACGTCGTCCGTATTTATTTTTATGTATGTATAAATGTCGATGACAAATATCATATGTGTAGAAACAGAAATCGACAAGAACAACATTTGCGAAGGGAGGAACGCCAGTAAACGAAAGAACAGTGAAGACGTACATGGGTAGATGTATGGAAGGCAAGTAGCGATAGGATTTGGTAGCGGAAGCTGAAATCGAGAACATTTCTCTTACTATTTATTTTATCCGCTTGCTTTTACTGCAATACGATAAGCCGCGTTGGAAGCTCGCGCTGTTATCAAACGATCGCTCGAACAACTTTGGGAAAGAATCGTGCCCAATCCACGATTGTTTAAAGTGTTCCTTGTGCTTCTACTAGTATCAGCGGAGAGTGAGGTTATCAAATTAGGCTCTTTTTCCATCTATCCTCACGATTGACTTGCCATCGCAAAATTGTCGTGTTCGCTTAAGGGAATCACTTCTCGCCGTTTTGCTTTTTCGATATTCCTCGAGACCGAGCGACCTGACCCTCCCACCGAATCATCTACAACATTTCGCAGCTCGCAAATTACGTCCCGAAATTACCTCCTTCATTAACCTCGCGCCTGATTACTCAAGATAACTTGGACACCCTCCGTACTCGGAAATTTATAACTCGGGTTAAAATTTGCTCTTGAGCTTTTTACGTCAACTGAATTTTATACGGAAATGTTACACGAAGTCCAATATTTGCAGCTAATTATTTATCGTTCGCTGCTTATATATACATACATACACTTATATATAATTATTATTAACTTTTCTTGATTCTCTCTCTCTCTCTCTCTCTCTCGCGTAACTTTCTAGTAAAGGGGAGTGCTCCATTTGTGAGACCAATTTTTAAATATGAAATGAAAATTAAATATTATAAATTTTGTTTTATCAAATGAAAGTTTGCTATAATGGAATATTATAAATTTGTTCATTGACATAAACTTTGGTTTCCACATTAAAACACCTACAGACGATGAAGCTTGTGATTTTAGAAAAATATTAATTTTGTATGTCGTCAGCAGAGATCATTGAGAAAGTATAAATTGTGGAAGATGTTTAAAGAAAACGTACATGTCCACATCCTAGTTTTCGGAACACGCACAAACACGTTAGTGAAAACTGAGAATGAACTGTTCGCGGTTGAGATTTTCTCGATAACATTACAAAGACGTGTCGTCAGCTGTTAGGAAAATATTCGGAAGCCAAGTCACATACCAAGTCTGCCAGGTCAACAACGTACACTGGACACCTTGTAAGCGGGAATTGGATTCTGTCGTGATAAATACTGGCATATCACTGCCCGTTATGTCGCCCAAACTTCGTGAATATATATACCGTCCGACTGTGCATGTAATGACTGTAGCCGTTGTAGCATCCTAATGTAGATATAGCCGCGCTCTGCACGCTGCAGGACGTGTACATGCAGGATAAACCGGGGGTCATGATACTGCTAAGGAGGGAACAGTTTACTGCGCAAATCGAATGAGAAATGTATAAATGGATTTTCTCTCCCTCCCCGACAAAAAGGCTTTACTCTCCTTGGGAAGCTTGTGAAAAGTTGATCGGCCAGATAACTGGCTCGACGTCGATAGAGACTCGTCGTCGATTTAACGAGAGCGCGTTAAAACAATCCTCCCGCGTGGAATTTCATTTTGGCATTTGGCAGCACTTCCCCCCCCCCTTCATTGTGCTATAATCCCCGGCCAATTCTGCTTGCATATTATTACAGCGTAATACGGCCGCGGACGTATCAGCTTTCCACGGATCACTATGTGGGCCGAGTGGAAAGGAATCCGACGCTGTTTAATCTCACTTAAGAAAAAGCTGGCTGAGTATGCAAAGGGAATCCAATTAGAAGGAGGCCAACTGCAGGTATACCACACCGAGCATATCCTATATATGCTTTATGTACGAGAGGATGGAATAATCCGCGCGTATAGTCACGAACGTGACACGTCGTTGCGCGGCGGGCAGCGGAAAGCGAGGGGAAAATAAAGGCGGCGTCAATTTCAGCCTGATTCGCCGGAATTATTAACGCCTCCGACGGATGTTAGGATGCCGCGCGCGCCCTAAGGATCAGCTGAAATCCACGGGGGTAATTATTAACGACCTAACGCGGCGTGACGACGTGACCCGGCGCGACGTGAAAAAATTTACGTAACCCCGGGGAGGGCTTACGTGCAATCTTTATGGGAGAGAAAAATAATTCGTCAGTGAAGTGTGTGCAGCACCGTGTTACGAGTTCACGACGGTCATATTTTCAGGACGAAATTCGCAGTGCTCGCGTTGCGGCGACAGATTTGCCGCAAGCGGCAGATACGCTCGTTGTACGGAAAACGGACCGTTGCCGCCACTTCTGCTGAAACGTCAAACTAGAATGTTATTTAAGGTAACATTTTAATTAACATTCACAAAATACACGAATGATTAAGTGCGTTACATTATACTCGGCGTAGAGCAGAGAGTGCGCGTGACTCGGAATACGCAAGCGGCTATATACCTTATGGAATTCGTTCGCAATTCATGCAAATATGTAGGAATTTAATTACGCACAAAATATTCCCTTTGTATTCCCAAAGAGAGGCAAAAATCACAATGCGCAGGGAGCAATTCGATTAACACCGATCAGCAGCGATTCTATCGATTCTATCTGATTACAAACAATATCCTTGATTATCGATTTGTCAAATATTAATCCGCTCAAATTCTCGTTATAGCATTCGCGCAAAGGAAAGCGCAAAGTACCGCGTGACGCATAACGCGAAACTCTTCACGGACACAATAGTCGTATAACACAAAGGAAAAAAGCAAAAAATGGAAATGGAACAATAAGGTAGAACAAAAAGGAGAGAGCTAATAAATATTGAAAAGCAAAGTTATCCCGACAATACACAAACGAGCTGCTCGACAAATACGTCTGCGAGACGTTTGCCATAAATTCTCGTGAAATTTCAAGCGTAGAGAAGGCGGAAAATGTGCGGCGCTGCTATCTTTCGGAGCTTACAAGTTCACGTGAATTAATGCGATCCAGTCCATCCTAATCTATGACGAAATCTTGTTAGTTCACCTCAGAGCGAACGACTGAAATTCTCGTACTCGTAGCGACGTTGCGAAGACAAACGTACGCAATTAAAAGCTCACGTGAACGATATAACAAGCGGAGATCGGAGAAGCGAGCGGAATACTTTCCGCAGTGCCCAAGTACGTCCTGGATTAACGGTATCAAGTTGATTCAGATTCGCGACGGGATCCAATTAATACGCCCGAATGATCAGCTGAAACTCATCACCAGGGAGAGAGAGGAGGATAGGTACACCCACATCGACACAACACATCGCGATATTACGAACGTGCGATATTAAAAATCGCATCCCTCTGTGCATCCCGAGAGCGCGAGTCGCGAGACTTCTTTTTCTCTGCGCGTAACATTTATATATATCTGCATATTGTATAGTACAGTACGTGCAACAACTATCGCACTGTTTTCCTGGACCGTGTGCCTGGACCCGCGAAACAAGCCGCTCTTCGGCGCTTCTCTTGCGCTTGGAAATCTAGCCGTCTTCTCTCACTTTTTAACTTTTCACATTGGGAATTTCTCGACGGCTAAACGCTGGATTACGGCTGCGATCTTATCAGAACATTTCACTCAATATTGAGCGGCGAAGCCCAGGGAAATTCGCGTACGTCGTACCTGCTTGAATTTGCCGCGGAGAAGTGACGCGAAAGGTCGCCGAAAGAAATCGGATCGTCTCTGCGTGTTCGTGTAAATTAAAAAAGTCCCGTCTAACCCAAGATTCAATTAATGTACACCCCAGCGATCGGCCGAAATCCGTCCGAGAAAGTGTGGGAAAGCCAACGTATCGTAAGAACGAACGCTCACGTCGGGGAGTTTACAAGGTGTGTCCAATAAAAGTTTCAGGACTTCGCCGCTGAGACATTGAAAATCGTCCGATGAAGGAATGCACAGGCTATCGATTACTACGGTCGAATGTTGGGAGCTGGGGAAAATTTTTATCGGCGAACATGTGGCTTTTCTCTTGCATTTTACGATTCGACAAAACACACCAATATTCAATGATTCATCCATTAACAACTCCTCCGTTGTTGTTGCGCCGTAAATATATAAATATGCAACATTACAGCGGGCGCCTGCAACAAATTGCGTGTGCAATCAATAATTATCCGAACTCGAGGGCGTTTTAATCACTCTGAAAATATTTCGGAACACGTAGTATTTCTCTTAAGAGGATTACGCATGTCATTTTACATTTGATTATTATTGTAATTAATTGATACTGAGAGTTCCGCTTTTACGTCGGAAAAATAGGATTAATATCTCGCTTGTAATTTAAAATGCGTTACGTTTATTCACACCGTGTGAACAGTATTTCATGTCCGTCACGTAATTTACAAAAATTAATTTCAAATACATTAAATAGCCTTTATGACTTTTTCGCAACGTACTCGTATCAACGTGGATAATTCTTTTCTTTTATTATTAAAGGTTTATTCCCGATTATAGTCCACGTTTGTACGTTTCGGTTATATTCATGTGGATAAATATGGAAAATATTACCCTTCCCTTTGCGCTATTTAGCTTTTAGCGACGTCATATTTACTGTGCCAATGCGTCCCTTTTTCAGATTTCTATTTCGGACGCAGCTACGAAGAGTGTCCGAAAAATTAAGCTCGTGTGTGAGCATAAAGAATGCTTTTAGACAAAGGCTCTTTTTTTCAGGATAAACGACCTCGCGACCTGGCTCGACTCGCGCGACAGCACTCGGCATATCGCAGCATAGAAATTAAACAACGCTAAAGCGAAATTAAACGAACTGTGCTCCGCGTTTTCCTAGAGATTGATTTAATAGAAAGGCGACAAATATTATGTGGCAATTGGACGAATGTAATTCGGGTTCGGCGAAAATTGATTTCAAAACAATTGACTGGCATTCGTGCCAATATCAATCTACGCCCGTTGTCCTCTCGCCGGTTCTCCGTTTCATTCATTCAGTCCCAGAACTCGTCGGACACGCCTAGTACTTCCGTGGAATAATTCACGCGCGGCGCGCACGTTAAGGGACTAATTAATCTCGCCAGAGGCGACCGTGTCCGCGCTCGCAGCCGCGCGTCATAAGGGCTGTGCGCGCAAAAAAAGAGCAAGAGAGAGAGGAACGAGAGGGACAGCGCGAGAAAGGTGGAGGGGAACGAAGAGGGAGACAAAGAAAGAAAGAAAGGAAGAAAGAAAGAGGGATAGAAAGAAAAAAAGGAGCAAATCCAGGATTCGCGCGAGTTAAGCGGATTTAGCCGATCGTTCGATGCCAAGGGCATGTTCAATTAGCGGGAACGTCGAGAATGGAATTGCCGTGAAAATTCCGCCGCGGGAAATCTCGGATGCCGCCGCGCGATAACGACGCCCCGCGTGCGCACAGGATAACCCCGTCCATCAAGCGGGCGCCGAAAATAACCTCCAGCTGGAGTCGAAAGGAAGGGAGGAAACCACCCTCTGGCCGCCAGGATCCATCCCGCGTCTCTGCGATCCAAGATCAGGATCCGATCAATAGGTACAGCGCGGACGCAACGCCGCGGATCCACCTGGATCCTGCATACGCGCGCGTCGCCTCGCTTCGCGTATCGGGCCGACGGACTTACGTGGACGCGGCACAATGTCACTGGATCGGATCGCTAGATCGCGGCTTCGCGCGCCGCATCGGGCGTCGCACGGTGTTGACATCGTGACAATTAATCTCGCCTGAGGAGGAGCGAGATAGAGAGAGAGAGAGAGAGAGAGAGAGGAGAGAGAGAGAGAGAGAGAGAGAGAGTAAACCGGTCTTTCACCCAGTCTCTGTGTATCCACGGAGTTGCGTCTTCCACCCCCCCCTCCCCCGCACCCATATCACTTGCCGTCCATACCGGTTTATCGCTCACGCCGCTTCCTCCTTGATCCCCACCCGTGCCTTTAAATCCGATGCCCGACCGACGTCCGGATGACGTCTCGGCTAGACAGAGAGCTTGTCACTCCGACGCTTTCATTAAAACGTAGGCGACACGTCGTCCTCGTCATCGTCGTCATCGTCGTTGTCGTCGTCGTCGCCGTCGTCATCGTTGTCGTCATCGAGAGCGGGAAAAATGCGAAAAAAAAAACAGAGACGATCCTTTCCAACACGTCGCGAGATAGAGACGCGCGGAAAAAAAAGAACGAAAGAACGAGACGCGACGTCGCAACGACGTGCGCGACGGAGGTTGACGCACGATCGCCGGCTGACACAGCGCGGGTTCGACGCCGATCTCGTCGGGAATTGCACTGGTCGGTTCAGCCCTTTACTCGGTCGGAGGGGTGGCGGCGTGAGAGAGCGTGCCGTAGGGAAGGGATAAACGGGCAGGAGGGAAAGGAGAGTGAGACAGGGCGCGGTGGGGACGGCGAACTTGGCGTGGGAGGATGGAGAAAAGCCGTGGGAGGGTGAGGGTAGGGAGGAGGGGGTAGGGGAAGATGAGGATATATATCTAACAGCATCCATAGCGCTGAAAACCACCGTGGTACATTTCACGAAGCTCCCACGAGGGACGAGGGAGAGAGCAGTGACGGAAGCTGAGACGGGAGTCAGAGGGACACGCGTGAGGAGGAGGAGGAGGAAGAGGCGAAGAGGGGGAGAACGAAAAGGTTAAAAAAAGCAGGGAAGTAAAAAAGGAGAAGGGGGAACGAGATGGAGCCGGTGGCCCCTAGGAAATTAAAACAAAAAGCATAGGGAAGCACATCGTGTCGCTGGAAACGGACTCGTACACACGCCAACGCGCTAGCTGTGTCTCTCGTTCTCTTTCTTCCTCCCTTCTCTCTCTCACTCTCTCTCTCTCTCTCTCTCTCTCTCTCTCTCTCTCTCTCTCTCTCTCTCTCTCTCTCTCTCCTCGTCATCACGTTACATCCGTTCCTCTTCCGTCGTCGGTCGCATCGGTTTCCCTTCTCCGTTGGGCGGAGCCACTTTTATTTCCCTTTATCGTTTATTACGAATGGTACGTCGCCTGCCGACACGTTTGTCGTCGAAAAAAAACGCGAGCGCAAGAAGGTGCAAGACACGTATTTTTTTCTTCCTCTCTCGTCCCTAGGCTTTTCTTTTTTCGACCTCCACAAAGATTCCGTTTTCCGCGTGGTTATCGGGAATAAGTTGAAAATTCAGGTGGGAGCGTTCGCGTGGGAAGGCTCAAGGGGTGGTGGTTTGAGGAGGTGAGGGTGAAGAAGACGGCAGATCGATAGTGCCAGTCGATACGTCGGTTATGTTAGCCTCGTTCGACGTCGTTGTCCTGTGTGTGCACGGTAACTCTCTTTTATTGTACTTCTCCTTTTCTCTACTTTGCTCGGTGAATCGATATATATTTTCGATATATAAGAGTGCAATCGTGCTAAAGTATTGCTCAGTTTTCGATCTATTTCCGACGTGCTCGGATACGACGTCTCCGCGGAGCTCCACTGAATGCGACGAGTAAATCTCTAAAAAATACTTATTACGGCTGAGCGAGCGGTTTCAAGTCCGCCGCGATAAGGGAAACACGTCTGCATCGAAGATGCATTTCTTGCTGTCACATCGTTCCGCCATCTGTTTCTTACGATCGATTATTAATTGCCGTGTGTCTCGTTGCGAAACGAACGCAGGGAGGAAGCGAAGGATCTCTTTTCTCGCAATCGTAACTTTTAGTATCCGCCAACTTACCCAACTTAAGCATCGTCCCGATATTGATTATCGCGAGCTACCGATATACCTGGCTTCGCAAACTCGGCTCGGCAGGGATACCGTGATTTTACGAATCACTGCGAAAATCATGACTGCGCAACAGTTTATGACGCGCGCGATGGCGTGAAAGCGCGCGGCGTAACGCGTGCATACTATCACCGCGTCCAATTGAATAAACGGGCGCGCCGAAATATCGCGATGTTAAGAGAGATGGTCGTTGTCACATTATTAAACACAACGCGCGACGTCACTTCGCCTTTACTCCGCGCATCACTATCGTAACGTCCCGGCCGAATGAAACTGAATGCCGGCCGCGTGAAAAACTGTCGCGGAAATGTCACAAACGTGTCACGGCGTGATAATGGAGTGCGCGCGCCGAGCGCACGCATTACTTCATTTGCGTCAGCTCTCTCGCCTCCTTGCTCTATCTATGTGTATATATATATATATATATATATATATGCATGTATGCATACGTATGCGCAAACACACTTTCTTGCCGCTGGCTCGCCGGTAAACTTCTGCCCGACCGGAGGAAGTTCAAGGTGGAAAATTCGTGCGGCCGAGCGGACGGGTGGTTCTCCTTCGCTCGCACGTCGGAGAATTCTCCCGCGCGCTTCATATGGCGGAAAGAATTTCGCGAGCGAGATAAATCGAGTTTGGAACGCGAGTAGGCGAGTGGCCGAGGGGTACAAGATCTTATCGCGGATAGGTGTGTGCTTAGACGCGAACGCGATTTATCCGCTATTTCTCACGAGATTTATCCGCCCGTTCTTTCATCTCCGCCCGCACCGACTCGTCCTTGTCCTCGTCGCGTGAAACTTCCCATTTTCTTCCTCTTCCCTTGCTGCTTCCTTTTTCGGAGCCGGCTCGAAACTATTTTTTTCTCCCGCGCCAGCTTTTGTAGTAGGCGGAAGTTCTCGCGAGAGCGCGCGATAAATCGAACACACACAAGAGGGAGCGAGAGAAACGGAAGAAGGGAGAGGAAGGACGAGAGAGCTCACCTTATTGCGGACGTATAAACGCTGAGAACGTGTGCGACTTTTCTCGCGTCGTTTCTCGCGAGACTTTTCTGTCGTCTCTTTAATTCTTCCGCCGACTAGCCGGAAGAGTGAGAGAGGGAGGGGGGGGGGAGTAGAATCGAATCGGGAACGGCGCATCCACGAGCTAACCAGACGGATTTTATCGCGCGCCGCGCTTCAGCGACGATTTCGTGCGTGCCGTAAACCGAGCTTAATCCATTCATGCGTGTTTTCCTCACTCCTGCGTTACCGTTCGACGGCTTCGCGACTAGTACGGAGAAAAATCTCGCGCGATTCCTCCCCTTCGCGTCAGATTCGACAACATCGCATTTGTCTGAGTTCCCCGCGATCTCCCGTGAGATCCGGACTGACGGATCAAAAGCAATCAACCGCGGCGTGCGAGTTTAATATACAACGAATGGAGAAAGAATCTCCGCTTATATTCTTTCAGAACTTTCCTAATATCCGAACAGCCGCGAGCTGCTCCGCGGAAACTATTTCGAAGAGAAAGAAGCTTTTCGGCGTCTCCTTCGAGGACGAGGATTTTAGCGAGCGACGAGCTGATTAATCGGCAAGTTTCATTTTTTCCTCTTCTCGAAATTGCTCGACGGGGGCGGGGAAGCGTGTGAGGCTCGCGTCGAGCCGAGAGAGAAGAACCGGTGGCGGGCAGGCGAGTGTGGAACAATCCCCTTTTATCGCGGTCGATCTACCCCTCACACTTTAATTCCACCGCCACAGCGTGCACCTCCCTCTGCGGAACGGGAATCTTTTATTTACACACGTCACACACTATCCGTTAACTTTTTATTTTTACATCTCCTCCCGCGCCATCCCCATATCCTCCTCGCGGCGGATTTCGCACTCGCGCGCGCGAGATAAGGCCGGCTCGGGGTGCTAGCTCGGCTTATACGCGGGCCGGAGGGGTGCAGCACTCTTATTGCGGATAGGTGGGTGCTTAGTGGACGGGCGCGATTTATCCGTTCTTTCCACCGAGATTTATCCGCCCTTTCTTTAACATCCCCCGCACCCCGCCCCATCCCCTTGCCCCACGGCTGCCGCTCTCCGCCTCCACCGCCGCCGGCCTATCGTCGGAGGCGCAATACGTCTGGCACGATAAGTGAGTACGCGCGCTCCGATAGTAATAAGTTCCCGCAACTCTCCGGCGAAGGAAGTCGATCGGGAACTCGAGCGAAACTTCCGCCCGCGTGTATGTTATTAACGTTTCCGACGGCGTGCACTCTTTCATCTCCCGCAGTCCGAAAAGCGTGAGATCAGCCGTGCGAGGCATCGACCGCGGGACGGCAAGGATCCTCCTCGCGACCGTTCTCCCGGCGGGATGCTTTAAATTCTCGCCAAATTACCGGACCGTGTTTCACGTCACATACGAGCGGCCGAGCGCTCGCTCACCACCCTCCGCTCCGTCGGAGCAGGCGAGGACCTTTGCCAGATCGCCCGGAAGTTTCGTAAACGCGGCCAATCAGCTATGGAAAAATCTATATCCCTGAAATCTCGCGCGGAACTCGAGAATTATTAAAGATTCTTGACGGAGATCTCCAAGTTTTCTCAAGACAACATCTTAAACGAGAGCTCACTTCTGCGTGTTTCTGTAAGTTAAGGCGCGCCCTTCCTGCTCTCTTTAAGCGATATTCCCCTCGGGAAACTTCGCAAAAAGCAGCGATCCTTAATCCTTGCAAACTTTCTTCGCGACAGTTGACTTCCCCCAGCGTGCATGCGCCCGCGAAGACCATGTCTACAGATGCCCGTGTCGGAACCTCCTTAATAAATCGCGCATCCCTTTTTCTCTTCAAACGGCTCCTCTCCGCAATCCCAGATTAGTAGAATTTACGGGGAGTAGGGAAGGGCGAAATTCATGAAAGGAAGAAGCAGCCGCCTGAAAGTCGGCGGGAGAAGCGATTGCGCAAGTATCCCTCCTTGCGATACGTGCGATATTTTGGCCCAATCTCACCACGGCCCACTGCCGGATATTCATGTGTAACGCGCTACACGTACGCACATCCTTGGAGACGTTGTCCCCGGTGCGAATAAATATCCTTCCCCTGCCACCGCCGCCGCCGCCGCCGAGACTTCTCCTCGCTCCTCCGCGCTCTGACCCGCGGTCTTCGAGATAAAAGTCGATCGTAAGTGCGAAGCCGCGCAAACACTCCGTTCATCGTCCGTAGATTTATCATTTCGCTCGGCAGACCGGCGTGAATCGTGCCAGGTTTACCGAGCAGACAGCGAGTGAGAATGAAAGGGTGAGCCACCCAGCCGCACGAGCGGAAAGGGATGTACGGTCGGGGTGGTCAGGGGTGGAAAGAGGGAGAGTGCACGAGAGAAAGAGAGAGAGAGAGAGAGAGAGAGAGAGGGGGAGAGAGAGAGAGAGAGAGAGAGAGAGAGAGAGAGAGAGTGAGAGAGAAGTGCTCTGGAGAGGGTGGCGGAGAAGGCGGTGAGCGCACTCCCGGCGAAGAAAAAGTCCGGCGTGACGGCCACGCGGCAGGTTATAAGGCTTGTATGGATATATGCCAAGTGGAACAGGACACGGCG